ATCAAAAAAATAAAATATAAGTTACATAATAAATCATCATTGGTTAGCTGTTGAGGTCTGATTTGTTTTCCACTAAATCATCGACCTTAAGATTTTAAACCATAAATTACATAAGAAATAAGTTAAAAAATATTTTTCTTAAAGAAATATATTTCTTGGAGTGGCATAGTTGATACTCTTGAGAAACAAATTCAGCAGCCCTCGAGGATGTTTGTCTTGGCGTCATAGCATATCAAAAGCATAGTTGAAGAAGATAGCTTGAACAAAACCTAATTGATTATATTAATTAGAATTTTGCCACTAAGCATTCCAAAAGAGACAATTCTAAAAATTTCTCTTGAATTTTTCACAGGTTATAATTTTTTTAATTATAAACCCGCATATATGCGGATCATTTACCTAGTTATATATAAAGTATCAAATAACATGAGAGAGATAAACACGTTTGTTATCAAATGTTAATAAAAAATATAGAATTAAGATTAATAATGATTTAGATGTCACATGTTTATAAAAAAAATGTAGAATTAAGATTAATAATGATTTAGATGTCATTCTTTTAGATACTTCATATTTGTAATTTTAAAATTTGAATACATATATAATGTCTTATAACATGAGAAAAGAGTTAGTTTAATACAAAACAAAACTTTGGTTAGTTTTCAAGAAAACTAATGTTGATGGTGTATTTTACAAAAAATCTCATTAAGAATATGTGTGCACAAAACAATGTGTGCTTATGCATATCATGGAGACAATAAATGATTATTTTTTTTTGTTTTTTMTTTGCGCAGGTGTTACAAACAGAAACTCATCAACTTAACGATTTTAGACCATATGATCGAGCTATTCTTACCTCAACAAGCTAACCAGTCTTTATGTCGATCTAAACTTCGGTATGAAGATTTCTTCCGGTGCCTAGTTTGACTAATGCAAAGCTAAGTTTCTCCGATTTTATGACGGTTCCATGTAGTCTTGTTAGACTATCCCTAGGAAATCTTAGCAAATACTCTTTGTGTTAGTTGATTTGGCTGTCCTGGGTTAAATGTAATTTCAAACTCGTCACCTTGTATTTGAAACTCCTCTTTGAAAAGATACATGCAATTGAGATATTTAAAAAAGAAAATTATAAAAATGTCACAAAAACTAGTTTGGCAGTGCAAAAAATGCGCATGTGTGTTTTGGCCTACAAAAATGTCACATGCATTTGTTTTCAAGCGAAAATGCCCTCGGCGTTGTTTGAGATAGCGTTAATGAGGTCTGACAAGTGACATTGGTGATATAAGTCTTAGGGAGTAACAAAAAGGTTCGATGAGATGTTTATCTACCACAATTAAGGAGGGTAAAGCTATATGTATACGTACACTAACATAAAATATATTGAGTTTAATAGAATATATTGGGTAAAGGTTATGTAAAAGGTATAGATAGTTGGCAATATTTACCGAGAGAAATAAAAGTAAAGATGTAACATCTCAATTCCAAACCAAAGTACGTATTCTATTTTTTTCCCCAAGGTCTGTTAATTTGTTTTGGCTCACCAGCCCACTAAAGGGAATACTTAGGGTTTCTTATCTATATTATAACAAGATTACTTGATAGACATCTACAAAGACATTTACCTAGAAAAGTTATGCTAGATGCTAGCCATAGCCGCCACCTTTAGAGACCATTTTCTGACGAACCATCTGCAACCATGTGACGATATACCTACCTATGGAAAGCCTTGTGTCTCATCTTTCCATAACGCCCAAGATCATCCGGATCCGAGACCTAGCATAATTATTGATAATTCTCCTCATCTGCTATAATCTGGCCGAATCTCTAGTCACTTCAGATCAAATCAGTTTCCGTAGGGAAACAAATCGGATAAGTAAAAGTTCTATGATTGATCTGAAACTTGGGCTGACTTATGCAGTACGAATCTGCGACCAGACATAGGAGAAGTTTTGCTACAAATTCTTCGGTGATCCAAACAAGCTGATGTTTGAATGGCCTGTTAGGATGAGGTGTTTGGATGAGCAAAACAATCGGATCAAGCTGAATATTTGCAGACACCTTAAGAACACATATATCTAGCTCCGAGTTGAAGGAAACATGATTTGTGCTTCATGAACATAGGAAAACATGCTCTCAAAGTCAAGACATTGAATCTGTCCAAAAGCGGTGAAAAGGGTATCAAGGTGTTCTTCATCATCATAGTAACAAAGGTAAGGTTTGAGATCTGTGGAAGCATAATACATATTTTCTTCTATTATATTACATGAACCATGACATGTAGCCTTAATATGAGTATTAGCCATAGGTTTTATG